CGTCCCCTTCTCCTCTTGCCTTCACACTTTCCCAACATCAGGGTCTTTTCCAGGGATTGGTGGTATAAAGATTAACAAATATTACAAAAACAGTTTCTTCTGTCATGTAAAAAAGACAAAAATTATTTCACTTTGCTTTTTCTGGCTGGCATCTGTAACTTCAGATCTGACAAAGCCTGCTCTCTTAACAGATCTATTGATGGGGGGAAATACTTTATTTTTTTTATTTACAATTTTATCCTGCCCAACGTGTAACAAAGCAGACACAACTAAATATAACAGTCACAAAAAAAAAAACCCAGTTAAAATATTGAATGAAAAGAAATCCAAATTCCAGGACCATGATAAGCATGGCTCTAGGGTGCAGAAAACAAGAGAGACAGGTAGTCTGCAAAATAAATATTTGTGGCTGGCAAGCCAAGAGGGATTACATTACATCACTATGGAGCAAGCTATAGAAAGGCTTGGGAGAATAGCCAGGTCTTAAGTTAACCCAAGGAGGTATGGGGCTAGCCACATCTCTGGTGGAAGGCTGCTTACATCATTAAAAAGACAATATGTAGAGACTGAAAACAGTACAGTAGATGTACAAGTATTAAAAATAATTAAACAGGTCTCCATTAAAAACAGTAATAAAATCAGTACTAAAACACATTTAAAACAACAGAATACAACAATTCATTAAACAACCTTCTTAGACCAACAATTATTAAGGGAAAACCTGCCTGAACAGAAAGGTCCTTGCCTGCTTGCAGAATGACAGCAATGATGGGGCCAGCCTGGCTTCTTGTAGGAGGGAGTTCCAGAGTCTGGGAGCAGCAACAGAGAAGGCCCCTCCTGTGTCTCCACCAAGCGCACCTGTGAGGATGGCGGGACCAAGAGAAAGACCTCCACTGATGAACTTAAAAGTCTGGGCAGGCTGATAAAGGGAGTTGCGGTCTTTTAGATACCTTGCACCCAAGCTGTTTATGCCTTTATAGGTTAAGACCAGCACTTTGAATTGTGCCCAGAAACTGATTGGATGCCAGTGGAGCTGCTGTAACGGGAGGGGGTGGGGTGTCACATGATCTCTGTAACCAGCCCCAGCCAGCAATCTGACTGCTGCATTTTGGACCCTTTGGACTTTCCGAACACTTTCCAAAGGCAACCACACACAGAGGGTTACAGTAATCCATGGATTACAGTCATCCATTTGAGATGTAACTAGGGCATGTGTCACCATGACCAGATCAACCCTCTCAAGAAATGGGTGCACCTGGCGCTCTAGTTTTACCTTGGCAAAGGTGCTCCTGACCACCATCGAAACCTGGACATCTAGGTTTATGGACAAATCCAGGAGTGCCCCAATCTGCTCACTCGTGTTTTCAGAGGGAGAGTAACCCCATCTGGCACAGGCTGCATCCCTTTTCCTTGCTCTGCATTTCGACTGACCAGGAGCACCTCTGTCTCGTCTGAATTAAGTTTCAGATTATTTGCCCTCATCCAGGCCATTACTGACATAAGGCAGTGATCTGGAGCCAAAATAGATTCCTTGGATTTAGATGGAATAGAGATAGAGTTGGGTGCCACCCCCATATTGGTTACACCAAACCCCCAAACTCTGGACAACCTCTCCCAGTGGTTTCATCTTAAACAGCATAGGAGACAAAACAGAACCCTGAGGGATCCTGCAGGGCCAGTGGCCAGGGTGTCAAACAGGAGTCCCCCAGCACCACCCTTTGGGTTCTTGCCTCCAGGAAGGACTGGGTCCTTTGCAAAACAGGGCCTCCCACTCCCATCCCAGAGAGATGACCCAGAAGGATATCAAAGCTTATGCTATTGAAAGCTGCTGAGAGGGCAGCGGAACAAACAGGGACACACTCCCCCTGTCCAGTTCCCAGCGTAGGTCATCCAATCAAGGCGATCAAATTAGTCTCTGTCCCATAACCAGGCCTGAAGCCAGATTGAAATGGATCTAGATAATCCATCTCATCCAGAAGCTCCACCCCTGGACCTGAGAAGCCACAGCCCACTCCAGCATCTTGCCCAGGAATGGGATATTTTTTTAAAGCTGTCTTACTACTGCCTCTAAGTAGCTGGGATCCTATCCTGCTTCAAGGAGGGATTCACTACCCCTTGAACCCACTCAGCCAGACCCTCTCTGTCAGCTTAGCCAAGCCAAGATGGGCAACGGTCCAGGAGACAAGTGGTAGCCTTCACTGCTCCTGTCCACACCACCAGGCTGCAAAAACGGAAACTTAGTTATCTAAAAACCAGCATGTAGTACTCAGTTATTAAAAGCTTGTCAGAAAGGGTGGATCTTCAGCTGTTGGTGGAAGGATAATATGGAGAGGACAACCTAATCTCCCTAGCGAGAGCATTCCAGGGCAACGGTCCAGGAGACAAGTGGTAGCCTTCACTGCTCCTGTCCACACCACCAGGCTGCAAAAACGGAAACTTAGTTATCTAAAAACCAGCATGTAGTACTCAGTTATTAAAAGCTTGTCAGAAAGGGTGGATCTTCAGCTGTTGGTGGAAGGATAATATGGAGAGGACAACCTAATCTCCCTAGCGAGAGCATTCCACAATCTGGCCATTTCTCTTGTCTCCATCAAGCATGCCTCCCATGGCAATGGGACTGACAAGAAAGCCTCATCTGAGGAACCTAAGGACCGAGAAGGCTTGTATGAGGACACACAGTCCTTCAGATAGCCAGGACCCAAGCCACATACAGTATTGCATAATAACATATGACATAGTTTAGGATTGCTGTTGTGACCCTGAGAAAGAACAAGGAAGCTGGATCTGCAATGCACTGAAAGTTCTGGGACAAATATAGATGAAACAGTTGATCATCTAAACAAGCAGGGGTTCCCAACCTTGGGTAACCCAGGTGTTCTTGGACTGCAATCCCCAGAAGCCTTCACCACCAGCTGTGATTGCTAGGATTTCTGTGAGTTCCAATCCAAGAACATCTGGGTTACCCAGCATTGGGAACCACTGATACAGACGGAAATAAAGTAGTATCTCAAAGGAAGAGCAATGAAAAGATTTGGAGAGTGGAATGCCAGTAAGAATTCAGAGATGATTCCTTGACTATGTTGTTGTTACGTGCTGTCAAGTTGCCTCCGACCCATGGTGACCCTATGAATGAGTGCTCTCCAAAATGTCCTTTCTTTAGCCGCCCTGCTCAGCTCTTGCAGACTGAAGTATATAGACTCTTTTGGGGAGTCAGTCCATCTCATATTTGATCTTCCTGCTGCCTTCCACCTTTCCCTGCATTATTGTCTTTTCCAGGGAATATTGTATTCTTATGATGTGCCCAAAGTAGAACAACCTCAGTTTCGACATTTTTGTCTCTATAGATAGTTCAGGCTTGATTCAATCTAGGACCCACTTGTTTGTCTTTCTGGCAATCCAGCATATTTGCAAATCTCTCCTCCAGAACCATATTTCAAATGAATAAACTTTATTATTGTCAGCTTTCTTAACTGTCCAGCTTTCATATTTATACATGGTGATCAGAAATACTGTACAAGAGTGTAGGTGGTCTTTGTCTCCAATCAGAAATCCTTGGTGATCTTTTCATTGCTGTGCTTCAAAGTCCCAGTTTTCTGATGTCTTGGCTTCAGTCACCACTTGGATTGATAATATGTACAAAATCTCTTAACTATTTAAATTTCTTAATTGTCAGTATTAAAATTGTGTAGTTCTGTAGTCATGCTTTTTGACTTCTTAACATTCAGCTGCAATCCTGCTTTGGCACTTTCTTCTTTCATTTTCCCTAACATTCGTTTCAAGTCATTGCTGCTTTTTGGCAGTAAAATGGCGTTATCTGCATATTTTAAATTATTCTTCCATCAGTTTCCACTTCTTTGTTTGAATGTAGTCTGACTTTCTGCATGATATCTTCTGCATACAGATTGAACATACAAGGGGATAAAATACACCCTTGTCTAACACCAAATTATCATCCTTCTGTGCTCTCTGTGAGGAAATGAACAAGTTACCCTTCAACATAAATGGGAAGGATCGTAGTAGAACAGTACAAATTCTTAGGGCAAGAACTATCTGTTTAAAAAATCCCCATGGGGGTAGTAACTGTTAATCTGTGGACCCAAAGCAAAGGTTTCTAATACTTGTCTGGTTACCAAAAACAGTTTGCAAATACCCAGCGTCAGTATAATTTGTTGCACAGCATTTAAATGCCCCACAAACTCACTGTTCCCAATTTTCCTCCCCACACCACTTGAGCTGTACATATATATCTAATATTCCGGCGTATCAAGAAAACCAAATGAAAAATAAAAATATAAAGACAAAAACGATGTGGTACGTTAAATACTAACAGCTATATTTTAATATATTTCGCAGACAAATCTCCTTACTCAGAAGTTTTGCCTCAATCTAGCATGGCTATCTCTTCTAAAAGTACTAATATTCTGGGTAATCTTGGGTCATTTTCTTAGCGCTTAAGGTGCCACAGTAATTTTCTTTGTTTCTTCCTTAAGAAAGGTTTGACTTTATTGGACCAATACATTATGTTCAACGTGATTGCCTCGTCTGATGCCTCTGACATATTTATTAATTTGATGTTTATCTGATATATTAATTGCACAGTCACGTTTCCGACACGAACAAAGATAACGATATTGGGGGGGAAGTATATGTAATCCTGTTGAAGAGAGTGGCTGTTTTGAAAAATGACTCCTTATATAAGAAATATATATTTTTTTTCTCCATTAGAAAGCAGCGACGAGGTATAGCCGGGGGGATTGCAATTATTTGACCGCGCTCCTAAGAGCCCCATTGGCTGGGGCCGAGCGGAGAGTCCTCGAATGTCAGGACGTGCTGTCCAATTGGAACCTCGGCCGGAAATAGGCGTAACAGCCAGAATTACTGCCCTATCAGCATGCTCCGTTTGGCCTATTGGTGTTGGTCGTGGAGTGACAGCTCCGACAAGCAATAGCGGAGGTGATTAGGACAAGGAGGGAGGGAGAGGTGTCGAGCGGGGCGTCGCTCAGGCCGGATGAAGAGAATCCGAGGGGGAAGTTTGGTGGTTGTTGCCTGGGGCTGTGAGAGGAAACAAGGGGAGTGCGGGGGGAACTGCCCCCCCCTTAGGCCGTTGCTATGGGCAACCGAGGAATGGAAGAGCTGATCCCCTTGGTGAACAAGCTGCAGGATGCCTTCAGCTCTATCGGGCAGAGCTGCCATCTCGACCTGCCGCAGATTGCTGTGGTGGGTGGACAGAGCGCGGGCAAAAGCTCCGTCCTCGAGAACTTTGTCGGTCGGTGAGTCAGACAGTCCGTGTGTGGTGGGGGGGGAAGGGAAGGGAAGGGAAGCGGGGCTGAGGGGAGGCGCCGAACGCGCAAGCCAAGTTCCGTCAGGCCGGCTCTCGGGAAGCCGGCGCCGTTTGCGGAAATGCCTTCCGAGAATCTCACATTGGCTTCCGTTGCGACGCTTTCGAGGCCGCTTGGCGTAAGCGCAGCCTGCGAATACTGTAGCTGCCATCGGCGGAGGGAACGCTTTACGCAAGTTGCGTTGGCGGGGAGGAAGAGTGTGGGAGAAAGAGGACGAGCGCTTTCTCACGGGGTTGTGTAGGGAGCGAGGAGGGTTGTGAGCAGGTGTCTTTCCCTTGCTAGGTTTTGTGGATTCGCCTGCTCTCCTCTGGTAATGTGGGGGTGGTGGTGGCTCAACCCGTGTCCTTTTTTAAACCTATATCTGCTTGCATTGTGTGTGTGTGTGTGTGGTGGTGGTGGGGAGGCAGCCGCCGCCGAGCATCTCCAGGCCGAATTGCGCGGCAGTTCTCGAAGTATGGAGGGGCAGCCTTTATGCTTCCGCCTTTGTTTTCTTCAGCAGGTGCAAATTCTCCTTCCTAGGAGACTTTGGCCTCGTTCTTATATTGTGGAGTCATCGTTTGATTGTTGTGCCAACGAACAGGCCCAGTAAGTCCACTAAAAGGCAGTTGTGTCTGTGGCGATCTTTTGGCCATACATTCATTCATACCTTTTGTGTTAACATGCACGTGTGAAGTTGCTCCCTTTGCGTGTAAGGTCCTTAGGTGTCAGGTTTCTTAGAAGCATTGTGTGCGAGAGCAGGGTCAGGTGACTGAGTTTGTCTTGTGTGCCTCTTACTTGTTACCTGAGGAAAATATCTGCTAATTAGAATCTGCCTTAAGGAGGATTTTGTCCATGGCAAAAGCAGCCCTTCCTTATGTAAAGTTAAAACAGTTGTGCAGGTAGGGTCATGTGAGCTAGGAGACATCTGGGAGATTTATGGATCTATTATACAGAACTCATATCTTAATCCAGGAAACAGAGGAGTTATTGCTTCCAAGCAGCAATTTCCAATGGAGTAGTTATATTAGTCTCATGTTGCAAAAACAGTAGAGAGTATAACTTAAAGGTTCAGTAGATTTATGTTGGCTTACTCTTCCTGGTTAGAAGTGTACTTTGTTATAAATATATATGTATGAAGTTTTAGCTGGCTGTTGTACGGGACACCTGGGTACAGAAAGAAAAATAATGGACTGAATCGCATGCCTTTGGAATTTATGAGATAGTGTCTGTGATCATTAGGGGTTGTAGATATCTGTTGAGCATGAAAATAAAGGTCACTTCCCAGGTTGGGAGGTTTCTTCTTTGAAGAAGGGTTGAGAAAACTGAAAAGGAGGGATTTTTAACATTTCTTGCAGCAGTGGTAAAACTGTACCACTGGCGGTCATGGATATGTGCCATACTGCAGTTTGCCAGCATTATTCAAATTATAATTTATTCTGAACATTCTTACTGTTTTTGTAGCAAGAGAAATAAACATCTGCCCTGGGAGACAAAGGATGAGGGCAGTATTTTGCTCATCATTGCAGAGAGCACTTGCATCCATCTGAATGTTTTTCTTGATATAAAAAGCAGCCACTTCTCAGGGAGCCCGTAAAGCATAATCATTGTTAATAGCAATCGTTTTTAAATACTTACAAAACTAGTTTCCTAAGAGTTCTGCACCGACTTGATAGACTGCATAATAGAGTAAGTACAATTAAATATGTATTATGTATTTCAAATACGTTTACTCTGCTTTTCTCCATAAAAGCTGGCTTTTTAAAATGCAGCAGTATCAGAGCCAATATAATATAATTTAAAATATAAGGATAAATTGTTGTTGCCATCAAGTTGCCTCCAATTTATGCTGGCCTCATGATCAAGTGACCTCCAGAATGGCCTGTCCTCAACAGCCCTGCTCAGCTGTTGTAAAATCAAGCCTGTGGCTTGCTTTAGGAAGTCAATCCATCTCTTATTTGGACTTCCTCTTTTCTTTCTGGCTTCAACCTTTCCCAAAATGATTGTCTTTTATAGAGAATCTTGCCTTCTCATCATGTGCCCAGAGTAGGACAATCTGAGTGTCATCATTTCTGCCTCCAGAGATAGTTTAGACTTGATTTGGTCTAGGACTACTTGGTTGTCTTTGTGGCAGTCCAGGATGTCTGTAAAGCTTTTCCTTTACATCATACTGTATTTCAAACAAATCATTTCCCCCCATCAGCTTCTTTAACTGTCCAACTTTCACACCCATATGCGGTGATCTGGAATACAAGAGTGTGGATGATCTTTCTTTTCATGTCCAGTGACACATCCAGCTTGATAATCTTTTCTAATTCCTTCATTACTAATCTTCCAAGCCTCAGTCTTCTTCTGTTTTCTTGGCTGCAATCATCATTTGGATTGATGATTGAAGCAAGTACACAAAATATTTTGCTGCCCTGTTTCCCCGAAAATAAGACAGGGTCTTATATTAATTTTTGCTCCAAAAACCTTGAGAATCACTTTGCTTGTGTGGGAAATTTAGAACAATGGTCTTATAGTTACTGCTCCCCTTGACATCTCCATTCTTGGGGATAGGAATATATATAGAATGTTGCTAGTCTGTGGCCATTGTTTTGTTTTCCATATTTGTCGCCACATTCTTTCACAAACTTGGTCTCTGTGGCTTGAAATAGTTCTCTTCGTAGTCCATCTACCCCTGGTGATTTCTTTCTTTCTAGCGCTTGCAGTGCAGATTTTACTTGAATTTCTAGAATTGCAGAATACAAATTAATTATATCATGCTGTAAATATTCAGAAAAATGGCAAAATAAATTTTCTATTACTGGGTTTCCCAATCCTGACCATCCTAATTGAATGAGTGAACACTGCTGCTGTACTTAGCCCTTCCATATCCTTTCTCCAGTTTGTCACATTTTTGTTGACATCTGCATCTGTTTAGCATAGTACCTCAACTCTTAAAATACTTTGCTGAAGAAGCATGAGATGAATACTGTGGGCCTGTCTACTTTGGCCCTTTTAGTGCAGGCTGGTGAAGTGTAAACAGTGTAAGGTGGCTTTTTTGAGGGGTGGGGAGCAATATGCCATTGGGCATGAGTCTCTCTCTCTCACACACACACACACACACACACACATACACACACACAGCGAGCGAGAGAGAGAGAGAGCGCGCTTCCATACAGTCTCCAGATTCACTTTTATAGAGGAAGTCAATCCAAGTTGGTAAAATTGTCTCAGCTGATCTGCTCCACTGCCTAATATGTCGCATTGTTTGTTGTCACTGCAGTTAACACCGCACCCAATGCTATTTTTCATCTTTAGCGATGAAAGGGCAGCCTTGGCTCCTGACATCTCTACCTAGCTAGAATTAGGACTTCTATCACCTATTCTGTACCAAGTGTATTTCTGTAATAAACATAAGCTTTCTTGTTTTATTAAGAAGTGTGGCTGTGAATCCTTTACAAAGAAGGAATTGTGCTTGGGCAATCATTCTGAGTTTCAGAGGGCTGAATCCATGTGAATATTGCTGTAGTACTGCTGTGTGTATACTCTCCAACCGAGAGAAAGTTAACAAACATAAAGCTCCAAATAAGCTCAGACTTTCAAGAGAGGAGGAAAAAATGCAAGAAGCGATAGTTGAAGTCTCCAATTATTACAGTGTCTCTCCTCTTTGAATTGTTGGCAATCTGATCTAGGAGGACATAATCTAACTCTTCAGTCTGACTAGGAAGCAGAACCGCCACTGTGACATTACGTATTATTATTCTGTCTCCTTTCTTTTTTACCCAAATGCTTTCCACCAGCCGTCTATGCTCCAGGTAATGTATCAACTCACAATTGTTCACATCCTTTACATAAAATGCTATAAGCTATTAAGTTGAAGGTATCTCAACATAGGCTCCTTTTTAAATAAAAAGCAAATATATAAAAATTACATTTTGAAGAAGAATATTTTTAAGCCATTAGTTTTCTCACTCAACTGTAACTAGTAGATTTCAGTGTTCTTGAAAAATAACAGTATGTCTTCAAACCTGAAGTCTCCACACCTACTAAAAGCAAATAGCCAGTCATCTGTGGAAAATAAGAATTACCTTGAGTAACTAAGATATCATTCTTCTTTTTATCTTTATAGAAAGAAAGGACTAGTTCATTCTCTTAAGATTAGTAAACCAGCTGCATACTGCTCATCCATATTTGGTGTCTAGAAGGGAGAAAGGAAGCTTTTCAGGTTCCTTTGGTCACAGAGCTCTTCTTAAGAATAGAAAGGCAGCCGTCAGGAAGGTAATGCACTCTGAGGTGCCAGACACCACATTTTGAAAGCTGCAGACAATCTTGACCCCTTTTCCCTTTCCTGAAAGCACGGTGGTAGCTGGTATTCCATTTAATGTCTTTACAAGCCATTTTTCTGCTCCTTTCCAAAAGTGATAGAAGAGAGAAAGAAGTAGCTAATGTCTTCCTTGGGACACAACAGTGTTTTGAAAAAGGTTATGCTTGAAAACCTGGCAATGGGGCACTTAGTCTGTCTTTCCCTTTCAAGGAGGCGGCACTAGCTCTACTCTGCTTTTAGAAAGCTGCTCAGGGTCCATGGGGTTGTCTTGTCTCCAACTTTTAGAACTGAGCTCTTTGAATCAAGAGAAATCCTTGCTTGCCTCTTTCTGAATGTTGCTGTATTAGGACTTTCCAAATTGGGCAAACTTTCATTTCCATAAGGGATCAAAGGGACAGTACTTATAGCCCCCACAAAACAGGACAGTAACAGGACTGTGATGTGCTTCTGCCAGATGCACATAAGATAAGCCAGTGGTTCCTAAACTGTGCCATGGTTGTGTGGGACACCGGAAAAACAACCTAGGGACACCACATAATCCTTTTCTCCTTCCCCCCCTCCCCTCTCCCTCCCTCACCCATACATAATATACTGCAGCACTTGCAGTTTCTCTAGTGTGCCTGTATGCTGCAGAGAGGGAATTCTG